AAAAGAGAGGCAATATATTGAAGGTAACTCTACTCTTTTATCTTTTCCCATTAATTTCTCCTTAACTTAATTTTATTTTCTTATGCACATAATTTCAATTGACTTGTAACGACTCGAATGATTGACGTAATGTCTGTGTACAGATGGACAGGCACAAGTATGTCAAAGTGGCCTACCATGGTTTCAAAGAGTTGTCCAAGGATGATAAGGTCGAGACCTATGGAAACACTCTAGTACGGGATTCTTTCGATGAACCTGACTATGCTCTCGTTGATACCCTTTTTTCACTAGCTGAAGCCTACTTGTTCGCTCAACTTGTCGACTTCAAGGATAATAATCCAGACAAAGTTCCAGAAGATATCGAGTAGGTAGATTGTATTTGGTGAATTCAATGAATTCTTTACTATATGAGAGACCTGTTATGCATTTTGTTACAACCAATTAAATTATCATCGGACTTGAAGAGAAATGTGTCTTGTGGTATTATCTTGATTTTGATCTGTTTAGTTGCTCTATATTGTTTCTCATTTTGTTCTTCCAGTTATGCTCGAATATATAAAGATGTAAGAGCTGCAGTAGATTTGTGTCACCGCGATGGAACCTTAAAGCAAATGGTCGCAAAAGATCCCGAAAGGTGAGGATGGAAAGGTTAAATCTCGTAGCGAGATGTTCTTTAGTGATTAAATAATTGGTTTTGCAGATTGACTTGGTATCTGTAATGCTGATTTGCTTCTTGTAAATCTTGAACTGACTTCTTTTCTTCCCCCACTTTGGGCATTGCCTTCTTAGGTATATCAACGTGGATACGTCGATTTTGCCCATGCTTAAAATGCTCAGAGATTCGGGCCGCTCTACTTTCTTGGTGACAAACAGGTATATTAGCTTCATAAATATTACTTTTGTCAGGGCATATATGGTTCCTATGGGCTTATGTGATGATCAACACTGATTGCAGCTTATGGGACTATACAAACGTTGTGATGAACTTCCTTTGTAATTCTTCTGTACCAGATGGTGATCAGAAGTTGAATTTTGATTGGCTTCAGTATTTCGATGTTGTTATCACTGGCAGGTTAACTAGTTCGATTCAAACTCATTGGAATTCGAATCTTGACATGTTTTTCCTTGAAGCTTGTTCATTGTTGTTTTCTGTTTCATGGTTTTTGTTATAACATTATCTGTAAAAACAGTGCTAAACCAGGCTTTTTCCATGACGATAACCGTGCTAATCTATTTGAGGTCGATGCAAAGTCAGGAATGCTACTTAATACTGATAATGGCTCGCCCATGCCCCAGGTTAGCTGTGTAAAGCATGCTACGGTACCATCAAATGCATTTTGTTTATGGCTTTAAGTTGACCTTAATTCATCGATGAAGGTGGGAGGTGCATCCCTAGCATTGTCACCGACGAAGTTAGCTAAATCCTGTCGAGTTTTTCAGGTTTGGGCTGAAATCTTCTGTTAAGTTGAATCCTTATCCTTCCAATATGATACTTAGATTGCCTTTAACATTCATTCTGTCAGGGAGGCAATGTCAGGCATCTGCATAAACTTCTGTCCATTGAATCAAGCTCACAGGTGAACTCTTATTTTATCTAGTAGAGGGCTTGGAATAAAAATAGGAACAAAGAATAAAAATAGTGAATAGTTTGCATAATAAGTCGATTTTCGACGGTTTTCAAACATCACTATTTCGTTTTATCGCATTTGTATTCTTAATCTTGGTACTTCACCTCTAATTTGTGCCCCCTTTTCTATTCTTTTAAGGTTCTCTATGTTGGAGATCACATCTATGGAGATATATTACGAAGCAAAAAGGCTCTCGGTATACGCCACGTTTTTCCCTCGTTTGTCATTCCCTTGTGAGTATTCTATTATAATCATCTGTCATTTATTGCTCGGCGATTTGGCAGGATGGAGGACTATGCTTGTCGTTCCAGAGCTCGAAAGGGAGGTCGAGCTCTTATGGGAGTTGAGGAAGACCCGCAAGGTTTTCGACTTCGTTCTTTCTCAAACTATGCAAGATTATATATCTGATCAACTCATGAATCCCTTGATGTAATGTTAAAGTGAACATTGTGCAGGAACTTCAGGAACTAAGAAACGAGCGGAACGTTATTGAAGACAAAATACATCATTTGAAGTGGTCTCTCAAGTACGTACTCTTTCTGGACTTTTTCCTTAATTTGTTCTATTCCAGTCTCTCTCCGTCTTTTGTCGACACGTTAAGAACAGCGATGTCGGTTTCACTGAGACAAAAGTAATAATTCTTGGTATAGGTTTGAAGACGTTGAGGCTGATGAGAAGGACAGATTATCTGGTGAACTACATCAGCTAGAGGTGATGCTCATAATCATCATAATTCAACGCGAACACGAACGAGTGATATTAAAATGAATACGAAATATTATCATCATCATTCTACATGAAAATGAAGCTTCACTGGTTTTGTTTTACAGGGTGAACGTGAACGAGTGCGGCTGAGTCATCAAGACGCGCTCCGGGAATGTCACCGACAGGTATTACAGGTATTATGGTTCAAAATTTGCAAGAAACTTAAAGAAAAAGGTTCATTCTCTTGAAATAAATGGCAGTTCCATGGAGTTTGGGGACAGCTGATGAAAACTGGATATCAAAACTCGAGATTTGCTCATCAAGTAGAAAGATTTGCATGCCTTTACAGCAGCCAAGTGACGAACTTGAGCTTATACTCCCCAGATAAATACTACAGGCCGAGTGAAGATTTTATGCCCCATGAATTTGGGATCATCTGTTTGTGATAATAAAAACCTTGTGTGTGTGTTCATAAATTCCTCTAAAGAGAAGAGTGGGAATTGGGCTTCCTTCCCCCACTGATTTGTTAGCAGTGTATGTACATAGTCGCACTTGCTTTCTTTCAGAAAAAATTTGTATTTGTAATTTCCTTTACATTCATAAAAGTAATTATTTGGTAATTGTTCATTTTTGTTCTAAATTTTCTATTACAAATAAAAATTTATTGCCATTCTTTTTTTTTTTTTTTTACTTATAAAATGAATAACTGAGGTAAAATAATTTTAATATAATTTACTAATAAATAAATTAAAAAAAAAAAAAAATATATATATATATATATACACACACACAATTGAGAAAAATTGAAAGAAAAACAACCTTAGCTAGAGTTTTATTTTAATTTATGAATTTTAGTAAAATTATTTAAGACTTAACTTATGTATGAATCAAAATCTGCGAGATCCTTCTTTAAATTAAATAATGTTTAATGATGTATAGACTGAAAAATAATTTATTTTTTAAAAAATTAAATTTATTTAAATAATACCTATTATGATTTTAGATAAAACATTTTTATTTTATAAGGGATAATAAAGATTTTTCATATATCTATTCATCTATATATATCTTTTTGGTATGGAATCAAGCCAACTTGAAGATTATATTTCAAAATGTCATCGAAACTATAGGATATAGTTTTGATATTGTATCAACATATTGATAAATAAAATATTAACAATATATTAAAACAAATAAATGCATCAAATTCGTTGTTAATTTTTTGAAATTGAGAGTGTCGTGAAAATTTGTTGTCAAACATGATATAATATATTATAAGTGAGAGATATCTTTCTCGAGAAAAGATGATAGAGATTCTGGGTGAAAATAAATTTTTTTTAAAAATAAAAAATAAAAGCATTTAAACGAATTAAAATAGAGAATATTAGCATGGATTTGAGTTTTGCTTCCACAAAAAGGAAGGAACCAATTGAAAAAAGTATTGCATCTTCAACCCCATAGCCAAAAGGATGAGATGAGATGAGATGAGATTAGATTGACCCACATTTACAACTTGCCATTTAAAATACAAAATAAATAAATATTTTAAATGCACATTTCAATCATAAAAAATAATAAAAAAAACTTTAAATAACAAAAAAAATTTAGTTGTACTAAACCTATTAATTATAAATATATTTTCTTTCATGTTAAGGATTTTGAAGATTTTCTATTTATAATCAATTCATTGCCGATTTAAATTATTAAATTTTTTAAAGTTATTCTAAATACATTATTATTCTTTTTTTTTTTTACAAGATTTTTAATTTAGTAAGATTTTAATTTTCATAAAATTGAAAATAAAATACGAGTAAATAGTAAAGAAATAAAATTAACAACAAAGTTTTTTTTTCTCTCTATATTTTGTCTATGGTTAAAAAAATACATTTTTGAAAATATTAATAGAAAAGTTAATTTTTTATTTTGCATAAAAAAAAAAGGTTTTAAAATAATGGCTGTCAAAATAGAGCCGAAAATGATTTTGGAAAAGAAATGGAAATTAAAGAGGAGAAATTCTGGTCCCAACGAACGTGGAGGATAAGGATTCCGAAATACACAAAATCCTTTTTTTTTTTCTTTTTTTTTTTGCGATCCCCTTTTAAATTCCATCTTCACTTTTACTCCTCCAACTTTGGAAAATTAGAGAATTCCCCCAAAATATTTATTTATATTTAATACTAAAATATAATTTTAATTATTACTCTCATAATCTATAGTTTTTTCATTAAAACAATTTGTCCATTGTTTTCTAGATTTTTCAAAATTACAAAAAAAAAATCCCATAAAGGCATGAGAATATTAGAATTTCAAAAAATAATTATTTAATTATATTTTAAAAACTATTTTCTTAACTTTAAATGAATTAAGACTGTGATTACATTGAATGTTGAATTTAATTAGATGTATTAAAAATAAGAAAAAAAAACCTAGGCTCTAATTAATAATTATTTAAATCTAAATACAATAATTCATTTCATAATAAATAAATAAATAAATTATATGGTACGTGGGTGACCATAAATTTTGACTAAGAGACAAGTTGGCAATGAAAAAGAATGGAAGAAAATAATAGATTTTTAAGAATAACTTTACGTCATTTCAAAAAATAAATAAATATATATATATAATTATTTTTTTTTGTCTATAAATAGAGAAGCGACGGGGAGATGTATTTGAAGGTAAGAAAATTAATTATTTATTAAAATGACATCTTCTTCTTCGTCGTCTTCTTCAAGCTGGAGTTCAAAGCAAAACAAGGTGTTCGAAAATGCTCTGACGGTGTACGACAAGGACTCGCCGGACCGGTGGCAGAAGCTGGCAAGTTCCGTCGGAGGGAAGACGGCGGAGGAAGTGAAGAGGCACTACGAGATGCTGGTGGAGGACGTCCACAATATTGAGACCGGCAGAGTTCCTTTGCCCAATTACTCCACACCTTCAAAACAATAACAAATAAGAAAGGCAATTTCGCTCTGAATTAATCATTTTTATTTGATTCTTCATTTTTTTAGTCTAAAATTTGAAATAACTCGGTGTAGTTATTTAAAAAGGTGCATTTTTAGTAGTTTAAATTTTTTAATCACACCCACAAAATGTACCGTATAACGTTAGCTTAGTATGTTGTTTGGATATATATGATTATACACGAGGTAGATGAGAGATGAAATATATGGTATTATTATAGAGTTAATATTAAGCCAGTAAAAAAATATGTCACTATCGATCAAGAGTAGTGATACCCATTTAAATATGAAGGACATTGTTTCTAGATTAGATTAGATTAGATCGCAAAATTATAATCTAATAGTTACCGTCTATAACAATAAAGGTAGCTTTTTTTCGATGATTCAATCACAATGATTCTAAAATTAAGTGTGTTTGTCCTTTATAAATCATATTTTAAAACAATATCCTGTGAATTTTTCTATACGTTAGACGTGACAATAAAACATATTAAAATAAGTGTCAAATTTAAATTCTAAATTTTGGTTGAATATTACATTTTTTATTTTAGTAATTTTAACTTACATTTTTTATTTATTTAATATTTAATATCTAAACTTTCAATATTTGCTTATGGTTGATGCTCTCTCTTTGGTGTATGCAGATTGAAGGGTCTAAAATTAAAATGATTGCAACAAAACACAGAAGATTGAAGTATATATATGTATATGTATGTATTTATGTCGTTCATTAATTTTATATTATAGGTATCTAATTAATCTTACCCCTCCACATATATTTCTTCTAAAATTACAAATTTAATCCCAACGTTTTTAAAATTTTTAAAATTCATAGATTTACCCATTAAATAACAAATAATGATAATGATAATGGAATGATAATTTTAAAATAAAATATGAAATGGGAAAAGATTTAGTAAAAAAGAATTATTTTTATTTTTCGCTATGGAGTCGTTTTAAAAGAAATGGGCCTAGGGCTTACATTTGGGATTGGGCTCCGGGCAATTCGGTCCACAATTGGAGGCCGATCGGACCTGGAGGCTCCGGCGAGGCAACCTGCAAAGTTATGGCCCCAAAAACTGTCTCGGCTTCTTCTCCTTCTTCTCCAGATTCCAATATTCTTTGAGAGTCGCAACAAAAACGATGCAAAGGATCTTCGCTTTCAGTTTACGCTCGATTAACCTAACAGCCGATTAGGGCCAATCGACGAACTTCTCTTCTCGCCATGTCCTTGTCTTCGCGCTCCGCAAAGCTCGCCCTTCTGGCTCTTCTCTCTGCCTCCACTTTGTATTGCTTCTACAAGTCCCGCCGTCTCAGAAAGCTTAAACTCTCCTTAAACCCTACGGGTTGTTCTCGCAGACCCAAACTTTTCTTCATTTCCCAAACTGGTACCTCAAAGGCCCTAGCGCATCGTCTGCTTAACGTTTTGAATTCAAATGAGTTGGCGTTTGATATTGTCGATCCCAAGGATTTTGAGCCTGAAGATCTTTTTAAGGAGACTTTAGTTTTGTTCGTTGCTTCCACCTGGGAAGATGGAGGACCGCCTCCTCATGCTAAATTCCTCGCCAGTTGGCTTTCTGAGAGCGCGGAGGATTTCAGAGTTGGTTCGTTGTTGCTTTCTCAGTGTAAATTTGCTGTATTTGGCGTTGGTAGTCGGGCTTATGGAGAGACATTCAATGCGGTTGCAAGGGATTTTTCCAAGCGGATGAAGGCATTGGGTGCGAAGGAGATATTAGCGGTTGGTGAGGGAGACGTTGATGGAGGTGATATAGATAAGTGTTTTGATGATTGGAGTCGGCAATTGCTGAAGGTTTTGAAGGTTGATGCGGTTGGCACTGGTGCGGATTTATATTCTGGGATTGATGAGGACTTTGATGCTGAAAGTGTCGAGGAGGATGACGAAGATGCCGACCCTGGGGAGGAGGACATCGTTGATCTTGAGGATATTGCTGGGAAGGGTCCTTCGAGAAAGTCTACCAATGTAGTCGAAACTAATGGGAAATTGAATGGGAAAAAAGTTATGGTCACCCCGGTGATTAGAGCGAGCTTAGAAAAGCAGGTAATTTCTTCGGCTGTTTATCTGCATTTTATTTCTCATGATGAGATGATGAAGAAAGCTTTCGGCAGACATTACCTTTAATCATAGATTCCAAATTTGTGTTTTCCGGTCCACCCCCAAATTGTCGGAATTACTGCTTGTTTTCTAGGCAATTTCTGGGTGCCTTGTGAATCAATACAAATCTGGAATGACTTGATAGTTTATCTTTTGCAACGGTCTTAGTTGAAGCCTCACTTCTTTTCCATTTGTTGTCTGATTGGCTCTTGAAATGGTTTTTCTTATGCAGGGGTATAAAATTATTGGCTCACACAGTGGTGTGAAAATATGTAGATGGACAAAGTCTCAGCTTCGAGGACGAGGAGGTTGCTATAAGCATTCGTTTTATGGCATAGAAAGTCATCGGTAATGTCCCATACATTCTATTTTGCTTGACCACAGCGAGTCTTCTTTCCTTTTCACGGTCATTATAATATTTGATGTTTTGATACATTTAATGGCAATGGCATAGAACTCTCAGAATTAAGATGTATGCCTCTGTACTTTGGTAAATGAATGATTTCTATTCTTAGGAGGTTGGATGATAGAATATGATTGAAGACTGCTAGGTGAATGAAAAAATAAGAATTTGGTGGCAGTCGCCTTCAAATCACTGAAGGTTACTAGAGTGTTTTTGGTGGCATCAGAGAAACTTTTGTGTGATATTCTTTGCTCGGCCAAATTTTACATCCAGCTGCTACTGATTTTATTTTTGGAATCCTTACTGTTTTGCCTACGTGACTGATATCTTCAATTTCCATAACATAAGCAGAAAGTTTCATGCTTTCTCATATTTTCTCAGTACATCCTTTTTATGTTGTTATGCTGATGCAAAATGTATATTGAGAGAGAATTTTCTTTGATTTATCAACTTGCATTATGAATCCTTCTTCATCTGGGAACTTGAATTTAAAGTTGACTCCTCACTTTCCTTCCACACAACAAGGCTTTTCCTAATCTCTTAATTTTTTTTTATAGACTGGTAGAAACTATCTATTGATTAGTGCTGTTGCTTGGATTAACTGTTCAATTTTGAGAACAGATGCATGGAGGCAACTCCGAGTTTGGCTTGTGCCAACAAATGTGTTTTCTGCTGGAGGCATCACACAAATCCAGTAGGAAAGAGTTGGCAGTGGGAGATGGATGATCCATTGGATATTGTGAATTCAGCAATCGACTTACACAAAAAAATGATCAAGCAAATGAAAGGTGTTCCAGGTTAGTGCTCCTGTTCTACTGCACTGGTGTGAGTAATATTTTCATGAAGATTGACCTTTCTTGGATAGACTTAATTGCTCCTGTGATTTGATGGTTGTAGAATCTGATTTTTTTTTTTGTAAATCATCAATATTGTTAATGTTTGTTATTTCTTTTAAAACTGTCAAAGAAATGCGCTGGCATTGCATGAGTTTTATGGCTAAATAGATATCAAGAGTAGTAGACCGCAAAGTAACGGCATTTTATACAGTTGAATCCCCCTTTGGGAGTTATAGAGATTTTTTAAGGAAGTTCAAGTAATATATAATCTAAGATTCCTGAAAATTTGGCTGCTTGAGAATATAAAGTTGCGATATTTTATTTTATATTACCTATCATTGAGAATCTTGTGAGGATGCTTGAAGTGAGTTATTTTTAAAATTCCCTTTTATTTGCAAAATTTTAAGTATTTTTTTGGCAGTAATCCATGAAATGTAATCAATGAGTTTATGTTCACGTAAACTCTCTCTCTCTCTTTTTTTTTTAAATTGTTGAAGTTCATGTCAACGAATTTGAAAGACAATGACCAACGGCTTGCTCCTTTACTTAAACAAGTGTAAAGCTAATTTTAGTAATCAGATACACTCATAACATAAAATAACAGTTCATGTACAATGCTAAAAAGTAAAAGCAAATTTTCTTTCGTTGGTAGTTGGGATTTCAGTGATGATGTGGTTACAGAGTCATTAACGCATATCAATCTTGTTGATGAGTGATGTCTTCCCGCAGGTGTTACGCAGGAGAAATTGGAAGAAGGCTTGTCTCCAAGACATTGTGCCTTATCTCTTGTTGGTGAACCTATTATGTACCCAGAGATTAATACACTTGTTGATGAATTGCACCGAAGGCGGATTTCAACTTTCTTAGTTACAAATGCTCAGTTTCCTGATAAAATAAAATCGTTGAAGCCGGTCACCCAGGTTTGCATGCTTTACAAATTTTCTTTTCTAAATAACATCAAATGTCAGGCTTATGCTCTTTGATAACTAGATTACCTAGCTGATTTCAATGATGCATGCAGTTGTATGTAAGTGTAGATGCTGCGACGAAGGATAGCTTGAAGGCAATTGATAGACCACTTTTTGGGGACTTTTGGGAGCGATTCATTGTAAGTTTCCTCCTACCCTCACCTGTTTCCAGGCCTGTCTCCTGAGCTAGACTGCATTGGAATTTATGAGAAAAGTAAATTTTATGGGGATGTTAAAATAAACAATGTTAACTTAAACTGTTCCCACTTAGCCAATCGCCAATCTCTTCTTGCCCACACTGGGTGCTCAATAGTCAAATACATTTTTCTACAATCTCAGTTTGCCTGCCAAAGTAAAATTAAACAACAAATGTGCCTCACTCACCTAAAAGGGAGAAAAACCCTTCTAAAAGGCATTCCTACCTTGAAGGAAGCATTTCATGATGAACAGAGCCGATATTTTAGTAATTTTCATTAATTGGTGCTCGCTATCAGATGTGCTTTCATAGAAACGCTCTGCCATCTAGTATCCATCCCCAATGAACTTATCTTGTGTATTTAAAAACCATAGTCTCCTATTAACTTTCTTCCTATGGTTATTTTATCAGCAATTAAAGTGATGGATTGTGAGAGAATTTCATTTCATTTGATATTTACTCAATTACTTTGGATGAGCAATTAAAGTGATGGATTGTGAGAGAATTTCATTTCATTTGATATTTACTCAATTACTTTGGATGATTTGCAACTTGTGAGGTGTTTGGTGAATTTGATTGCTTTTATATATATATATATATATAGCAATTAAAGTGATGGATTGTGAGAGAATTTCATTTCATTTGATATTTACTCAATTACTTTATCAGCAATTAAAGTGATGGATTGTGAGAGAATTTCATTTCATTTGATATTTACTCAATTACTTTGGATGATTTGC